CCATCAGGGAGGGGAGAGGGCAGCCGATGGTCCTCTGTGCTGCTTTTACAACTCTCTGGAGCCTCATCCTGTCGGCCTCAGTGCAGCTGGCGTACCACACTGTGATGCAGTATGTTAATAGGCTCTCTATGGTAGATGATGTTGCCAGTGCTTTTAGTTTCTATAACAACACTTCCTTTAGAGTTAAATATACAATGAAGGATATATTACATATATTTTCTAAGTTAAAAGCTTTCCCATGTGGCTTTGTATATTATTTGTATTATTGCAATTCCCTTTAAGTAGATCCTTCACATGAGCTAGTGTGTTCTTTTATGTATTCATTTGTGTTGTTAAGCTTGCATGTGTGCCTTTATTATGCCATGTTATATCCCTTGCATTGTTTTATAAATAATCTCAGCACTAAAAGTTTTACAATTAAACTCAGCAGTATACAACAGCCTTCTCTTGTATTTTAATATTTACCATTCAGACCTGCATCAGCCAATCATTTTCATGCTCGGTAAACAAACGGTGTTGTGCCTCCACCGCCTGGGGGAAGAGGTCACCGCTGGCTTCAGTCAGGCTGGGCTGCTGTTACTTTGCATGGCCGCAAGATGGCAATGTTACTTCTATTGCCAACATTCAACAAGTCCAGTGAGGCTGCAGCTGCATCAGGTTGGTTTGCAGGACAGAGGCACATTGCACAATACAGGAGGGATGTATTCTGCAAAGCAATGCTCGTTTGCGAAGCTTATGGTGTCTTGTAATATCCCAATGGAGGATGATATGTCAGTATACTATCTGCTGTCATGGGTTTCAGACAAAACTGCGAGAGAGGGTCACTTAAAAAATGTATCAAACTGTATAAAATGGAATTTACACAAACGTCCAAATGATGATCACTTCACATTTTGAGAAAAAAATCCCTTCAAATCTTCAACAGTGGAGAATCTAAAGTTAATTTGGCTACTATGTTGCGTTTATGTTTCTTCTGTTTTACATTGGTCCCGTTATCTTCCAAGAATGCCCTTATAATGGTGAATGTTAATTACATTCCTAGATTATAGTACCACATTAGACATACAATTAGAGTTAAAGTTATGTTTTTTTTTTCAAGATGTTGTATTTATTACCAGAATAGCTACTTCAAATCACGTTGCATGTCTCACAAAATAACAAATATCGTTTAACTGTAATTTACGATAATAGGCCTAATAATATCCTTTGATAAATGTGATTTACAGCAGTATTTGAACGATCCTGTCAAGTGTCGTCCAGATGAAGGTGTCCCAGTGCAGTGTTGGTTCCAGCTGTTTTCTGCGGTAATCTGCGCCTCTGTGCGTCAAATATTTCTGACGCACCACCAGTGGATGTCGTTGTTCCGCCTGGTGTCACCCCTCGAGATGAGCTGACCTAAAGCTGTGCCAAACAAGATCCGATCCAAGAGAGAGGGAGGGAGGGAGAGTGAGGGGAGAGATAGAGATTGTGAAAAGACCGGCAGGAGGAGTGGGACTTGCTACAAGGACACTAGCGACTCTTAAATCCGGCTGCTCCTCTATTTATACGCAGGAGATTTGAAGAAACAAACAACAAAACAGGAGGAGCTGTTATTGAATCCCGATAAAGAAAAATAGACTCACATCTCCGGTTCTTACATCTTTTTTTAATTATTCTCAGGTAATGTGAGCTTTGTATACATTTTCCCAAACCTCCCATGCATGTGCTCGGACTGAATGTTACTTTTATATCACTGTAAAATACAAATTCTAACCCCAGTGTTTGTTTGGAAAGTGTTTGCAGACTGCTTAGCCATCACCAAACTTAACTCTCTCTCTCTCTCTACCCACACGCTCTTTCCCTTTCTCCTCCAGCGGCAGAGACACTTGGGGACCGAGGGACCTACCATGTTAAGGGCTGTGGATATTGTCCTCTCTGTGCTGCTCGCCGCCTCCCTGTCGTGCCGGAGCGTCCTGGGCGGCTACGGGGTGAGCCTGTTCGCGGCGCAGACCTCTCCCCCGGACCCCTGCTACGACGAGCACGGCAACCCGCGGCGCTGCATCCCGGACTTCGTTAATTCCGCCTTCGGTAAGGAAGTGAAGGTCTCCAGCACGTGCGGAAAGGTGCCCAGTCGCTACTGCGTGGTGACCTCGGCGGAGAAAGGAGACGAGAGGACCAGGAACTGTCACACCTGCGACGCCTCGGACCCCAAGAAGTACCACCCTCCAGCGTACCTGACGGACCTCAACAACCCGCACAACCTCACCTGCTGGCAGTCCGACAACTTCCTCCAGTACCCGCAGAACGCCACCCTGACTCTGTCCCTTGGAAAGAAGTTTGAGGTCACTTACGTGAGCCTGCAGTTCTGCTCGCCTCGACCGGAATCCATGATTATTTACAAATCCATGGACTACGGTAAAACTTGGGTGCCCTTTCAGTTTTACTCGACCCTGTGCAGGAAGATGTACAACAAGCCGAACCGGGCCGTTATAACGAAGCAGAATGAGCAGGAGGCTGTGTGCACGGACTCCCACACCGACATGTACCCTCTGACCGGGGGGCTCATCGCTTTCAGCACGCTGGACGGCAGACCCTCGGCTCACGACTTTGACAACTCCCCGGTGCTGCAGGACTGGGTGACAGCCACGGACATTAAAGTAATCTTCAGTCGGCTGCACACTTTTGGGGACGAGAACGAGGACGACTCGGAGCTGGCCCGGGACTCGTACTTCTACGCCGTGTCGGACCTGC